ACATTCTCCAGAATCGATCACATCCTAGGTCATAAATCAGGTCTCAACCGGTACCAAAAGACTGGGATCATTCTGTGCCTATTTTCAGACCACAATGCTTTGAAACTAGAACTCAATCACAAGAGGAAAGTCGGAAAGAACTCAAATACATGGAGGCTAAAGAGCATCCTACTGAAGAATGAATGGGTCAACCAGGAAATTAAAGAAGAATTAAAAAAATACATGGAAACCAATGAAAATGAAAACACAACTCTTCAAAATCTTTGGGCTGCAGCAAAGGCAGTCTTAAGAGGAAAGTATATAGCAATACAAGCCTTTCTCAAGAAACAAGAAAGGTCTCAAGTACACAACCTAACCCTACACCTAAAGGAGCTGGAGAAAGAACAGCAAATAAAGCCTAAACCCAGCAGGAGAAGAGAAATAATAAAGATCAGAGCAGAAATCAATGAAATAGAAACTAAAAGAACAGTAGAACGGATCAACGAAACTAGGAGCTGGTTCTTTGAAAGAATTAACAAGATTGATAAACCCCTGGCCAGACTTATCAAAAAGAAAAGAGAAATGACCCAAATCAACAAAATCATGAATGAAAGAGGAAAGGTCACAACCAACACCAAAGAAATACAAACAATTATAAGAACATATTATGAGCAACTCTATGCCAGCAAATTAGATAACCTGGAAGAAATGGATGCATTCCTAGAGATGTATCAACTACCAAAACTGAACCAGGAAGAAATAGAAAACCTGAACAGATCTATAACCACTAAGGAAATTGAAGCAGTCATCAAAAATCTCCCAAAAAACAAAAGCCCAGGGCCAGATGGCTTCCCAGGGGAATTCTACCAAACATTCCAAGAAGAATCAATACCTATTCTTCTGAAACTGTTCCAAAAAATAGAAATGGAAGGAAAACTTCCAAACTCATTTTATGAGGCCAGCATTACCTTGAACCCCAAACCTGACAAAAACCCCATCAAAAAGGAGAATTACAGACCAATATCCCTGATGAACATGGATGCAAAAATTCTCACCAAAATACTAGCCAATAGGATCCAACAGTCCATTAAAAGGATTATTCATCACGACCAAGTGGGATTTATCCCTGGGCTGCAAGGTTGGTTCAACATCCGCAAATCAATGAACGTGATACAATACATTAACAAAAGAAAGAACAAGAATCATATGATCCTCTCAATAGATGCAGAAAAAGCTTTTGACAAAGTACAGCATCCTTTCTTGATCAAAACTCTTCAGAGTATAGGCATAGAGCGTATATACCTCAAGATCATAAAAGCCATCTATGAAAAACCTACAGCAAATATCATTCTCAATGGGGAAAAACTGAGAGCTTTCCCCCTAAGGTCAGGAACGCGGCAGCGATGTCCACTATCACCACTGCTATTCAACATAGTATTGGAAGTCCTAGCCACAGCAATCAGACAACAAAAAGAAATCAAAGGCATCCAAATCGGCAAAGAAGAAGTCAAACTCTCACTCTTTGCAGATGATATGATACTTTATGTGGAAAACCCCAAAGACTCCACCCCAAAACTGCTAGAACTCATACAGGAATTCAGTAAACTGGCAGGATATAAAATCAATGCACAGAAATCAGTGGCATTCCTATACACCAACAATAAGACAGAAGAAAGAGAAATGAAGGAGTCGATCCCATTTACAATTGCACCCAAAACCATAAGATACCTAGGAATAAATCTAACCAAAGAGACTAAGGATCTGTACTCAGAAAACTATAAAATACTCATGAAAGAAATTGAGGAAGACACAAAGAAATGGAAAAACGTTCCATGCTCATGGACTGGAAGAACAAATATTGTGGAGATGTCAATGCTACCTAGAGCAATCTACACATTCAATGCAATCCCCATCAAAATACCAACCACTTTTTTCAAAGAAATGGAACAAATCATCCTAAAATTTGTATGGAACCAGAAAAGACCCCGCATAGCCAGAGGAATGTTGAAAAAGAAAAGCAAAGCTGGCGGCATCACAGTTCCAGACTTCCAGTTCTATTACAAAGCTGTCATCACCAAGACAGCATGGTACTGGTACAAAAACAGACACATAGATCAATGGAACAGAATAGAGAGCCCAGAAATGGACCCTCAACTCTATGGTCAACTCATCTTTGACAAAGCAGGAAAGAATGTCCAGTGGAAAAAAGACAGTCTCTTCAACAAATGGTGTTGGGAAAATTGGATAGCCACATGCAGAAGAATGAAACTGGACCATTTCCTTACACCACACACAAAAATAGACTCAAAATGGTTGAACGACCTCAATGTGAGACAGGAGTCCATCAAAATCCTAAAGGAGAACACAGGCAGCAACGTCTCTGACCTCAGCCAAAGCAACTTCTTCCTAGAAACATCGCCAAAGGCAAGGGAAGCAAGAGCAAAAATGAACTATTGGGACTTTATCAAGATAAAAAGCTTTTGCAAAGCAAAGGAAACAGTCAACAAAACCAAAAGACAACCGACAGAATGGGAGAAGATATTTGCAAATGATGTATCAGATAAAGGGCTAGTATCCAAAATCTATAAAGAACTTACCAAACTCAACATCCAAAGAACAAAGAATCCAATCAAGAAAAGGGCAGAAGACATGAACAGACATTTTTCCAAAGAAGACATCCAAATGGCCAACAGACACATGAAAAAGTGCTCAATATCGCTCGGCATCAGGGAAATCCAAATCAAAACCTCAATGAGATACCACCTCACACCAGTCAGAATGGCTAAAATTAACAAGTCAGGAAATGACAGATGTTGGCGGGGATGCGGAGAAAGGGGAACCCTCCTACACTGTTGGTAGGAATGCAAGCTGGTGTAGCCACTCTGGAAAACAGTATGGAGGTTCCTCAAAAAGTTGAAGATAGAGCTACCATATGATCCAGCAATTGCACTACTAGGTATTTACCCCAAAGATACAAAAGTAGGGATCCGAAAGGGTACGTGCACCCCGATGTTTATAGCAGCAATGTCCACAATAGCCAAACTGTGGAAAGAGCCAAGATGTCCATCGACAGATGAATGGATACAGAAGATGTGGTATATATACACAATGGAATATTATGCAGCCATCAAAAGGAATGAGATCTTGCCATTTGCAATGACGTGGATGGAAGTGGAGGGTATTATGTTGAGCGAAATAAGTCAAACAGAAAGACATGTATCATATGATCTCACTGATATGAGGAATTGTTAATCGCAGGAAACAAACTGAGGGTTGCTGGAGTGGGGGTTGGGGTGGGAGGGATTGGGTGGCTGGGTGATAGACACTGGGGAGGGTATGTGCTCTGATAAGCGCTGTGAATTGTGGAAGACTGCTGAATCTCAGATCTGTACCTCTGAAACAAATAATGCAATATATATTAAGAAAAAAAAAAAGAAGAAGAAGGTAGCAGGAGGGGAAGAATGAAGGGGGGAAATCAGAGGGGTAGACGAACCATGAGAGACGATGGACTCTGAAAAACAAACTGAGGGTTCTAGAGGGGAGGAGGGTGGGAGCATGGGTTAGCCTGGTGGTGGGTATTGAGGAGGGCACATTCTGCATGGAGCACAGGGTGTTATGCACAAACAATGAAGCATGGAACACTACATCAAAAACTAATGATGTAATGTATGGGGATTAACATAAGAATAAAAAAAAATAAAGTAATATCTACCACTGCAAACAGGAAAAAAAGAAAGTAAACAGCCAATACTAGAAGATTCAACTAATGATATACCACCCAATATGATAATATGAAGTCATTAAAAATTACTTATGGAGATTATGTAGCACTCTGGATAAAATACATAAAATTTTTAAATGAGAAAAGAAATGCAATATATGACTGCAAAAATGAAAAATTTATTTTATATGGGAAAGGTAATTCAAACAAAAATAGTTGTTAGCATCAGCATTTTATTGGTTTTCAACTTGACATGATAAAAAGTCAAGCAAGCAGAATCCCTCATGGTCCATGCTAGTTGAGCAAACTGCATCAGACTGCAGGAACAGATGAGCAGAAATACTCTTGTATTAGGTGCTAAATTAAAGTATGAGAAACCAAAGTAACCACCAATAATTAGAAGGACACTTTGACTCGGGGCTGGTGACCCCTGGGCCTCCCTGTGGCATTAGCATCAGTGACCACTTACCTTTCTGTTAACAGATTCTCCTTCCACTGCTTCTGTGTTAAGACATTGCACTATGTTTGCTCACAGCCCCCTGATTTCCTATCTGTCTCTAAGCTCCGGGCTCTTGTTCTAGGCTATTCACCAGCTCATTCTCTTTTATGTTGATCTGACATGCCATGTCCCCTGCAACCTGCCCCTGCCTGACTTCCCCTGCTCTCCCGGCATCTGCGTGTGCCCTTGCTCTTCAGTCCATCAGTCACATGGCTCTCAGCCCCCTCGCCCTGACTGCAGGCTCCAGCCTCACAGCCAGCAATCTCCTGCACCTCCACCTTAGACCTCCCACTGTCCAAACTGCACCCAGGACTTGATGCTACCCACACAGGCGAGTTACTCACATCTACAATCTTTCTCAGGTAAGGTGAAAAACAGAAAAAGTGCATCAAAAGCCCCAGAATAAATATAAGTACCTTCCAGGCCTTTACTTCACCTGCAAAAGGGAATATCACCTGAGTAGTGATAATTTTTGAAGGACGTTACCAAAAGAGAAAAATAAGAGAAAGTTATCCCTTAAAACTGGCCTCTTAGTTTGGTTGCTCCATAATATAAGTGAATACCAGGTAAGTACAAATTCTCTCCTTGGGAACAAAACTAGATGCAATAGTGAAGTTTTTAAAAGTCTACTCTAACTTTCTAAGATAGTATAAAAGTACATAATACTTTTTATTTTAAACACAGTAGCAGATCTATACCAGAAACATAGCTCACTTATCCTTAAACTAAGAAATACAAATCTTTCAGGACTCATCTACCCACTAAATGAAGAGAAATAAGGAATGGAAGGAATGGAGTTACCTGCATATGGGTACTGGTAGGGTACAGCATAAGCCTGCCCGTTTGCAGCATAGACAACTTGAGTTCCTGGAGGGTATACACCACTGTATGGACCATAGCCATATGCCTGCTGAAAAGAAACAGGCCCATCAGAAATACAATTTTGAAATTCAGCATTATTTGTAATAAAAATTCTCAACAAAGTGGGTGGAGAGGGAATGTAATTCAACTTAATAAAGGTCATATATGACAAGCCTACAGCTGACATCATATTCAACAGTGAAAAGTTCAAAGCTTTCCTCTAAGATCAGGAACAAGACAATAAGATGCCCACTCTTACCACTTTTATTCAACATCATAATCAAAGTCCTGGAGAAAAAGAAATGAAAGGCAAATAAATTGAGAAGTAATAGTAATAGTAATTGAGAAGGAATAGTAAAACTGTCACTATTTGCAGATGATATGATATTATACCTAGAAAACTCAAAAGAAAACTACCAAAAAACTATTAGAACTAAAAAAAGGAATTCAGTGAAGTTACAGGATACAAAATCAATATATACAAAACTGTTGTGTTCCTATACACTAATAACTATCAGAATGACAAATTAAGAAAACTATCCCATTTACAATTATATCAGAAACAGCAAAACCTAGGATTAAATTTAACCAAAGAAGAGAAAGACCTGTGCACTGAAAGCCATGAGACACTGAAGAAAAAAAAAAAAAAATTGAAGGAAACACAAATGAAAAAAATATTCTATGCTCATGGACTGTAAGAATAGTTAAAATGTCCATACTATCCAGAGCAATCTACAGGTTCAATGCAATCGCTATCAGAATTCCAGTGGTATTTTACCCCCAGAAACAGAACGAACAATTCTACAGTTTGTATGGAACCACAAAAGACCCCAATAGCCAAAGCAACATTAAGGTAAAAAACATCAAAGCAGGAGACATCACACTCACCAATTTCAAACTGTATGACAAAGCTACAGTAATACTGGCATAAAAACACACAGACAGATCAATGGAACAGAACAGAGAGCCTAGAAATAAACCCACACATACATGGTCAATTAATTTATGACAAAGGAGCCAAGAATACACTATAGGGAAAGGACAGTCTCTTCAATAAGTGGTGTTTGAAAAACTGGACAGCCACATGTACAGAATGTAACTGAAACACTATCTTACATCATATACAAATTACTATTGTTTTGGGGTGCCACAAAACACACCCATAAAATGGGCAAACTTAATTGATAAATCTTGTGTGTTCTGACTGCTCCACCAACTACTAGTTCCTGTCTCTCTCCCTCTCAGGCCTTCCTATTTCCTGAGACACAACAATATGGAAATGAGGCCAATTAATAACCCTACAATGGGCTGGCTCAGTCAGTTAAGCGTCTGCCTTTGGCTGAGGTCATGATCCCAGGGTCCTGGGACCAAAGCCCTCAATCGGGCTCGAGCAGGAAGCCTGCTTCTCCCTCTCCCTCTGCTGCTCCCCTGCTTGTTTGTTCTTTCTCTCTCTCTCTGTCAAATAAATAAATAAATAAAATCTTAAAAAAAAAAAACTACAATGGTCTCTAAGTGGTCAAGTGAAAGGAAGAGTCACATGTCTCTCTCTTTAAATCAGAACCTAAGAATGATTAAGCTTAGTGAGGAAGGCATGTGGAAAGCCAAGACAGGCCAAAAGCTGGGCCTCTTGTACCAAGCAGTTAGCCAAGTTGTGAATGCAGAGGAAAAACTCTTGAAGGAAATTAAAAGTGTTACTTGGGGGGTGCCTGGGTGGCTCAGCTGGTTAGGCATCTGACTCTTTATCAGGTCATGATCTCAGGGTCGTGAGATGGAGCCCCACATTGGGCTCCATGCTCAGTGCAGAGTCCACTTGAGATTCTCTCTCCCTCTCCCTGTGTCCCTCCCCCTATTCATGTTCTCTCTCTCTAAAATAAATAAATAAAATCTTTAAAAGTGCTACTCCAGTGAACATACAAATGGTAAGCAAAACAGCCATATAGCTAATATGGAGAAAGTCTGAGTAGTCTGGATAGATAGAAAATCAAACCAGTCCAACATTCCCTTAAGCCAAAGCCTAATCCTGAGCAAGGCCCTGACTCACTTCAATTCTGTGAAGGCTGAGAGAGGTAAGGAAGCCAGCCTAGTAGCAGAATCCCCTCTAGCAATTTTCAGCAGTTCCGGGAAGGAGAATATGAAGGACCAGGAATGTTGCTGGGTGGGAAGACCCTGAGGTCTGAGACCTCGGCAGGTGACTGGCAGTCTTCCAACAGCACATGTCTGTGAATGGGCATTGAGAGACATGGGCAATGGACCCACCTTCACTGACCAAGTGAATGACTGCTATATTCTGGGAAATCTGGAGACAAAAGGCCCAGCCTTCTTTACGAGCTCACAGGTGGGGGGGGGGGGGCGAGGAGGACAGATATGCTTACAGATAATTACAATTACTGTTGTCGTGTGACAAGTACTGTATGTGGCACAAGGGAGAATAGGTTGCTGCTGTCAGACAAATAGCTGCATAGTTTAAACCTGTCATCTTATAAAAACAGGACACAGGAGTTACGATTCTGGAAGATGGCAAAGATGTAGGGAACAAAGATGTTCCCTATTCTTCCTACTAAGTACAACTGAAAACCCTGAACATAATATATAAAACAAACATAAAGAGACTCTGAAAGATGGCAAGAAGGTGGCACACTGGCTAGGGACCTCAGGACCCTAAGAAGGACAGATGGTGAGCTCCCTGGGTTTCCTTTTTGCCTCCTATATCCTCGACTAACTAAAGGAGAAGACAGGAACCAGTAAGTACAGACAAAAAGGCCCCCAAGAAAAGCCTGCTCTCTCTACCCAAAAAACCTTGGGAGGAAAGGGACAATCTGGCAAGAAAGACCATTTTTAGGCAGTAACTGTTCTACTCCAGTCCAACACTACAGAAATAACTGTGGCCCCACCCCAACTCCCACCAGCAAGGCCAAATATACAGAGTGAGCTTCCATGTTTGGCAGGCTGTAATAAGGCACCCTCCCCCCGCCACCCCTGTCCCAAGTTGTGTCAGAGAAGGCCAAGTAGGGAGCTGAGAATTTCATCCCCGCCAGATGGAGACCATGTAAGAAGCCAGAACTCCCACCTCTGTCCAGCACAAACCAGGTGCCCCTCCCAGACCCATTGGATGCAATCAGCAGAGACCTAGTGGAAAACACAGTATCAGTGGGAGCTAGTGGGGAGCAGTAAAGAGGAACCCTCCAATTCCCACATAGGGTGGTGTCAGCAGAGACCTGGAGGAGGGCCTAAATTCCCAACCCTCCTGACAAGGAGGTGACAAGAAACCCAACCCCTGGGAGTTTGGCTAAGTGGAGAACCTGCACTTCCATCCCTACATGGCAGCGACAGAGTAACTCCCTCTTCACCCACAAGAACAGCATTGGAAGGGAGTACACTAAAATACAAGATTTAAGTAAGATTCAGTCTCATTAATACTTAAAATGCCCAAGTTTCGATAAAAAATCATTTGTCCTATCAAGTATCAGGAAGATCTCAAAATGAATAAAACAACAAGAGATTTTTAAAGATTTTCTTTATCTGAGAATGAGACAGAGAGCACAAAAGAGGAAGCACAAGCCGGGGGGAGGTGCAGAGGGAGAAGTAGGCTCCCCAATAAGCAGGGAGCCCGATGCGGGGCTCAATCCCAGGACCCCGGGATCATGACCTAAGCTGAAGGCAGATGCTTAACTGACTGAGCCACCCAGGAGCCCCTCTAGGAAACTTTTTAAAGCAGCTATCATAAAAATATTTCAAAAAGCAATTATGAACACATCTGAAATACATTTTAAAAAAGTCTACGCAAAAACAGAAAATCTCAGGAAAAACAATGTAAAGATATATACACATATTTATATATTTTCAAGATATAAAAAATAAAATGAAAATTTGAGGGAAAAAATTATATAAAAAATACAATAAGTGAGCTTAACAACAGAATAGAGATGAGAAAAAGAATCAGTAAACAGGAGTATAAATTGGAGAGAAAAAAGACTGATGAAAAGAAAATGAACAGAATCTGAGACATGTGGAATATCTAACATTCATGTCATCAGTTTCAAAAGAGAAAGGAGGTGGGACTGAAAAAACATTTCAGAAATAATGGCCTAAATTTTCCCAAATTTAGCAAGAACCATAAACCTACATATTCAAAAAACTGAACCAAACAAGATAAACCTCCCCCAAAATCCATACCAAAACACATTATAGTCAAACTTCTCAAAACTAAGCACAAAGAAAGCAGCTAGAAAAAACAATGTACTAAATACATGGGGGAAAAATTTTAAATAAGATTTATCCTCAGAAACCATAAAGGCCAAAGAAAACAGCACACACTTACCAAATGTTCAAAGAAATATCAACTCAGAATTCTACACTAGTGAAAATATCCTCCAGAAATGAAGAAGAAATCAAGATATTCTCAGATGAAAGAAAACAGAATCTGTTGCCAGCTGATCTATCCCAAGAGAATGGCAAAAGGAAGTTCACTAAACAAAAAGTAAACAATAAAAAAAGGAATCCTGAAATATCAGAAGGTAAGAAAATATGGTCAGAACAGAAATACATGTAAATATAATAAACTTTTCTTCACATCTTGACTTTTCTAACAAGTCTGACAGCTGAAGCAAAATTCTTTTTTTTTTTTGAAGCAAAATTTCTAACATACAGTCCTCATATACAAAAGAAATGTGAATGCTTGACTTTGAAAAATATGTATTTATGAATAACGTAATAACTAGAACCACCACTAAAAAAGAAATACAAAGAGATACACTCAAGAAACATTATAGATAAATCAAAATGCAATTTTTGGGGTAACTGGGTGGCTGAGTTGGTTAAGTAAGCGTCCAACTCTTGGTTTGGGCTCGGGTCATGATCTCGGGGTCGTGAGATCGAGCCCCACTCTCTGCAGAGTCTGCTTTGGATCTTTCTCTCCCTCTGCCCCTCCCCCCATTCACACATTCTCTCTTCCCCTCTCTAAAATAAATAAATCTTGGGCGCCTGGGTGGCTCAGTTGGTTGGGCGACTGCCTTCGGCTCAGGTCATGATCCTGGAGTCCCGGGATCGAGTCCCGCATCGGGCTCCCTGCTCAGCGGGGAGTCTGCTTCTCCCTCTGACCCTCCCCCCTCTCATGCTCTCTCTCTCTCAAATAAATAAATAAAATCTTTCAATAAATAAATAAATAAATAAATAAATAAAATCTTTTTAAAAAATGAAATTTTAAAACCTGTTCAAATAACTCACAAAAAGCTTAAGTAAAAGAACATAGAGAAATTAAAACAGAACTAAAGGAAAACAAAAAACAAAATGGCATACTTAAACCTATCAAAAATTACATTAAACGTAAATGGTCTAAATATACTAGCTACAAGATGAAGGTTTGTCAGATGTACAGGGAGAGATGACCCAATTATATGCTGCCTATGAGAAACTCACTTCAAATGTAATGGTATATGCAGCTTGAAAGAAAAAAGATGGGAAGAGGCACCATGCAAACAATAAAAAGTAAGCAGAAGTAGCTATATCAGTATCAGATAGAGCAGACATCAGACAGAAGAAAATTACCAGAAACAGAAAGGGACATTACATTATAATACAGTTAATCCAGCAAGAAAATATAAAAAACAGAGTTGCACATATAAACTAGACAACTTATATGAAAAGGACCAATTCCTCAAAAAGTACAAATTACTACAACCCACTCAATAGGAAATAGAGAATAAACAGTCCTATAACTCTTAAGAAAATAGAATTTATAATTAAAAATATCCCAAAAAGAAATCTTCAGGCTTGGACTGTTTTATTGGAGATTTCCACCAAACATTTAAAAAAGAATTAACACCAATTCTATATAATCTCTTCTAGAAAAAAGAAGAGCAGGGAAACACATCCCAAAACTCATTCTGTAAGGCCAGTATTACCCAATAGCAAAATAAGAGTACAAAAAAAAAAAAAAAAAAAAAAAAACAACTACAGACCAACATTTTTTATGAATATAGATGCAAAAATTTTTATAATATTAAACAGAATTCAGCAATAAATGAAAAGAATTATACACCCCAACTAAGTGAAGTTTATTCCAGGGATGCAAGGCTGGTTCAATATTTGAAAATCAATCAGTATGATCCATCATATTAGTAGGTTAAAAAAAAAAATCACATGACCATATCAATTGATGCAGAAAAAGTATTTCACAAAGTTCAACACCTATTCATGATTTAAAAAAGAAAAAAAACTGTCAGAAAACTAGAAATGGAGGGAATTTCCTCAATTTATTGTAGAACATCCTCAAAAACCTACAGCTAACATCATACATAATGTAGAAAAACCAAATGCATTCCCCCTAAAATCAGGAATAAGGCAAGGATGCCTGCTCTCACCACTGCTATTCAACATATTAGAAATTCCAACCTGGGCAAGGAAATAGGTGGCACACAGACTGGAAAGGAAGAAGCAAAATTCTCCCTATTTGTAAATGACATGGTTGTCTATGTAGTATATCCCAGAGAAGTACAAAAAAATACTTCTAGAACCAGTAAGTGAGCTTAGTTAAGTTCATAAGCTACAAGATCAACAAACAAAAATCAATAAACTTGGGGAAATTGAAATTTAAAATACAATACCATAGACAAAGATTCAAAAAAAAAAAGAAATAATAGTAAATCTAATAAAACATGAACAAGATTTTTATGCTGAAACTACAAAATGCTGGTGAAAAGATCAAAGAGCATCTAAGAGAGACAGTCATTGACTGGAAAACTCAACATAATAAAGATGTCAATTCTCCCCCAATAAACCTGATACAGAAGTTTAAAACAATTTCTATCAAAATCTATCAAGGCTTTGTTGTAGATTTAGACACTTCATATGGAAAGGAAATGGAACGAGAACAGTTAAGGGAATTCTGAAAAGGAAGAATAAAGTGGGGGATCAGTCTAACCAATCTCAAGACTTTTTATACAGCTACACTCACCAAGTCTGTGTGGTGTCAGAGGAAGAAAAACACAGAGATCAATGGGACTGAACAGAGACCCGAGAAATAGACACACACAAACTGATTTTTAACAGAGATGCAAAAGCAATTACAGAAAGGACTTAAAGTCTTTTCAACAAATTGTAGTGGAACAATCAGACATCCATATTCAAAAAAATGAACCTTAACTTAACCCTAACACCTTATAAAAAATTAACTCACAATGGAAAACACTTAAGTGTAAACCCTGGGACTATAAAACTTTCAGAAAATAGCACAGGAGAAAACCTTAGGAACCCTGGTCTGGTGAAGTGTGAAACATGACAACAAAAGCACAAACCATAAAAACTGAGGAACTGGACTACATGAAAATTAAAACTGTGAAAGACATTGTTAAGAGAATAAAAACACATGCTACAGAACACATATCTGACAAAGCATTCCTATTTCAAACATATATATGACAACTTCAAAACTCAATGTTAAAAAAAATAATTAGAAAACAAGCAAAAGACATAGGACATTTTACTAAACAGGATATATGATGTCAAATAAGCACATAAAAAATGGCAACATCACTACCTATTAGGGAAACACAAATTAAGATCAGAATGAAATATCACTACACACCTGTTGAACAGCTAAAATAAAAAAACAGTGATGCCACTTAATGCTGGAGAGGATGCAGAGAAACTGGATTACTCATCAGTGAAATGGTAGAGTCATTCTGGAGAGTAGTTTGCTAGCTTTTCAAAAAACTAACCATGTATTTACCATACAAAAGACCCAGTAATTCCATTTTGAAGCATTTTTTCGCAGAGAAATAAAACCTTATGTTTCTACAAAAACCTGTACGTGATGACTGTTCACAGTGGGTTTATTGGTAATAGTCAGAACTCTGAAACAACCCCAACAGACAAATGCTCCTCAATACTTAATGAGGTACACATGCAACAATCTGGATGGCTCTAAAGGGCACTGTGCTAAGTGAAAAATACCAAACTCAAAAAGATCACATGCTGTATGACTCAATTTATATAACATTGTGGAAATGACAAAATTATATAGACAGAGAACAAATCAGTGGTTGACAAGAGTTAGGAAAGGGGAAGGAAGATGTGACTATGTAAGGGTGTAGAAGGAAGATTTTGTGAACAGTTTTATATCTTGACTGAGGGGCTGATTACACAAATCTACACATAGGATAAAATGACAAAAAACCAGACATAAACATTGTGCCAATTTCAAATTCCTGGTTTTGATTTTATCTAACATGTAACAACTGGGGAGCTGGGTGAAGAGTACATGAGATCTCTACATATTATTTTTCCAACTTCCTATAAATCTATAATTATTTCAAAATTAAAAGTTAAAAAAACAAAACAAAACAGAAGTACCTCCCACAACAGAGACTTCTATATGTAGCACTGACCACTTGGCACTTCTAACTAGCAGATACCCCCAAGGTATTTGGTATGTGATTTTTTAAGGTTTTGTTTCAAAATAAAAGCAGCATTTTTTCTGATTATAAAGAGAATTCAAATATTTGAATTCTCATTTATTAATTAATTAAGTATAAACCATAAATCATCAACATCATATTACCAAAGCAACTGTCATTAACATGAATCATTTTCAGGTGTATCTTTAAAACAAAATGTGAACATGAAGATTATAAATTTTACGAACGAAAACAATAACCTGTTTTTAAAAAAAGTTTAAAGAAGAAAAGGGTTGAGTACGTTTCTAATTTCTCTGATAGTGGCTCAAGGTTCTTTTTTATTTTTTAAAAAGGACAGTAGCACAGAGACCACAACTTCCCTTCACTTGGATTCCAAAACGCCAAGATTCGCTCCCTACCTCGGGGGTTGGTGCAGCATAAGCTGTATAAGGAGGTGGGGAAGAAGCCACAGCTGTCTCATCATACAGGACCTCTGAGCCAACGTAAGCCTATGAGAGGAGAGAGAGAATGAAAGAGAGCTGTCACAAAGCAACTATAGGCTCCTAGGATTCTATGCATATATGTCCTTTTTATTCAGCAAATTCTTAAAACGTAGAACAGCAGGGGGGCGGAGCAAGATGGCGGAGGAGTACCAGACCCGGATTTCCTCTGGTCTCAGGAATTCAGCTGGGTAGGGATCAAACCATTCTGAACACCTACAAACTCAACAGGAGTTGGAAGAAAAGAATAACAACAACTCCCTGAACAGAAAAGCGACCACTTTCTGGAAGGTAGGACGTGTGGAGAAGTGAATAGGAGGCAATATTCGGGAGGATAAGCGGCAGGGGAGGGGGCATCCCTCGGCCGTTTCTGGCAAGTGATAGAGCCCCGGAGCGCAAAATCAGAACTTTTAGAAGTGGGCTCCACTAAGGGACACTGCTCCAGTGGCTAAGCAGGGGGTGGAATCCTCATGGGACAGTGTGGTCTCAGGACCCTCGGGGTCACAGAAAGACTGGGGGTGCCAGAGTGTGGCAAAGCTCCCAGGTACCGGACCAGGGAAGCCGGCTGCAGAGACAGAGCCGAGGCGCGGGCTTTCAGCTCGGGGTTCTTATAAACCGTTATCTGCGGCACAGTCGGGCCACTGCTCCTCCAGCAGGGACCCAATGCGGCAAATCTGGGGAGACTCCCCCTTGTCCCCTGGGAGGAGCGGCATGGGAGCGCACCACAGGGATCTGCGGGTTTGGAGACTCCACACCAGGTCGGGTGCCAGAGATAGAAACACTCGGTCACAGGCCGGGTGAGCACGGAGTGCGGCCGGAGACCAGGGAGATGGGAGTGACCGACTGCTTTTCTGTGGGGGCGCACTGAGGAGTGGGGCCCCGAGTTCTTGGCTCCTCCGGGGCAGAGACTGGGAGGCCGCCATTTTCACTCTTGGCCCCCAAAGCTGTACGGAAAGCTTGCAGGGAACAAAAAGCTCCTGAGAGCAAACCCGAGCATAATACTTAGCCCAGACCGGACAAGAGCCGGGCAATTACGCCTCCAGCAAAAACATTTGGGAACCACGGCAACAGGCCCCTTCCCCAGAAGATCAGCGAGAACAGCCAGCCAAGACCAAGTTTACCGATCAATGAGAACGGTAGAACTCCAGCGCTAGGGGAATACTGCACATAGAATCCATGGCTTTTTTACCATGACTCTTTAGTCTTTCAAAGTTAATTTTTTTTAACTTTTTTTTTTTTAATTTTTCTTTTTCCCTTTTTCAACCAACATCTTATCAATCCCTTTTTTTTTTAAAGATTTTATTTGTTTATTTGAGAGAGAGAGAGAATGAGAGACAGCACAAGAGGGAAGAGGGCAGAGGGAGAAGCAGACCCCCCGCCGAGCAGGGAGCCCGATGTGGGACTCGATCCCGGGACTCCAGGATTATGACCTGGGCCGAAGGCAGTCGCTTAACCAACTGAGCCGCCCAGGCGCCCCGAGATCCCTTTTTAAAAAAAAAATTTTCTTTTTCATTTTTAGAGTCATATTCTATCCCTTCATAGTAGTTACCCTTATTTTTGGCATATATATGTATATATAAGTTGTTCTCTCTTTAAAATTTTGAGATACAGTTTCTTCTAACAGATCAAAATATACCCTAAATCTTTAGTGTATGGCTTTGTTCTACTCTCCTGCCTGATCACATTCTCTCCCTTTTTTTTCTTTCTTTTTTTTAAATCCTTTCTTTTTTCAAACAACTTCTTATCAATTCCTTTTATAAAATTTATTATACTTTTCATCTTTACAGTCATATTCCATCCCTTCATCATATCAATCCTTATTTTTGTACATATATAAGTTTTTCTTTAAAATTTTGGGAGGCACTTTCTTCTAACAGACCAAAATACACCAAAAATCTAGTGTGTGGCATTGATCTACGAACCAGCCTGATCCTATTTGAACATATTCTAGTTTTTTTTCTTTTCTTCTGTTTTTGTTTCTTTTTATCTTTTCCTTTTTCTTTTTTTTTCTTTTTCTTTTTTCTTTCTTCCCCTTTCTTTATCCCCAGCTTCATGTCTTTTCTGATTTGTTTAGAGTATATTTTCTGGGGACGTTGTTACCCTGTTAGCATTTTGTTCTCTCATCCATCTATTTTCCTTTGGACAAAATGACAAGATGGAAAAAAATCACCTCAACAGAAAGAACAAGAGGCAGTACCGACTGCCAGGGACCTACTCAATACAGATATTAGTACGATGTCAGATCTAGAGTTCAGAATCATCACTTTAAAGATACTAGCTGGGCTTGAAAAAAACATGGAAGTTATTAGAGAAACCCTTTCTGGAGAAATAAAAGAACTAAAATCTAACCAAGTCGAAATCAAAAAGGCTATTAATGAGGTGTAATCAAAAATGGGGGCGCTAACTGCTAGCATAAATGAGGCAGAAGAGAGAATCAGTGATACAGAAGACCAAATGATGGAAAATCAAGAAGCTGAGAAAAAGAGAGATAAACAACTACTGGATCATGAGGGCAGAATCTGAGAGCTAAGCAATACCATAAGACAAAACAACATTAGAATAATTGGGATCCTAGAAGAAGAAGAAAGAGAGAGAGCTGCAGAAGGTATATCGGAGCAAATTATAGCAGAGAACTTCCCTAATTTGGGGAAGGAAACAGGCATCAAAATCCAGGAGGCACAGAGAACCCCTCTCAAAATCAATAAAAATAGGTCAACACCCCGACATCTAATAGTAAAACGTACGAGTCTCAGAGACAAAGAGAAAATCCTGAAAGCAGCTTGGGAGAAGAGACATGTAACCTACAATGGTAGAAACATTAGATTGGCAACAGACCTATCCACAGAGACCTGGCAGGCCAGAAAGGACTGGCATGATATATTCAAAGCACTAAACGAGAAAAATATGCAGCCAAGAATACTATATCCAGCTAGGCTGTCACTGAAAATAGAAGGAGAGATAAAAAGCTTCCAGGACAAACAAAAACTAAAGGAATTTGCAAACACAAAACCAGCCCTACAAGAAATCTTGAAAGGGGTCCTCTAAGCAAAGAGAGAGCCTAAAAGCAACATAGACCAGAAAGGAACACAGACAATAGACAGTAACAGTCACCTTCCAGGCAATACAATGGCACTAAATTCCTATCTTTCAATAGTTACCCTGAATGTAAATGGGCTAAATGCCCCAATAAGAAGACAGAGGGTATCAGATTGCATTAAAAAACAAGACCCATCAATATGCTGACTGCAAGAGACTCATTTTAGACCCCAAAACACCCCCAGATTGAAAGTGAGGGGGTGGAAAACCATTTACCATGCTAACGGACACCAAAAGAAAGCTGGGGTGGCAATCCTTACATCAGACAAATTAGATTTTAAACCAAACACTGCAATAAGAGATGAGGAAGGACACTATATCCTACTTAAAGGGTCTTTCCAACAAAAAGATCTAACAATTGTAAATATCTATGCCCCTAACATGGGAGCAGCCAATTATATAAGCCAATTAATAACAAAAGCAAAGAAACACATCGACAACAATACAATAATAGTAGGGGACTTTAACACCCCCCTCACTGAAATGGACAGATCGTCTAAGCAAAAGATCAACAAGGAAATAAAGACTTTAAATGACACACTGGACCAAATGGACTTCACAGACATACTCAGAAAGTTCCATCCCAAAGCAACAGAATACACATTCTTCTCTAGTGCCCATGGAACATTCTCCAGAATAGATCATACCCTAGGTCACAAGTCAGGTCTCAACCACTACCAAAAGACTGGGATCATTCCCTGCCTATTTTCAGACCACAATGCTTTGAAACTAGAACTCAATCACAAGAGGAAAGTCGGAAAGAATTCAAATACATGGAGGCTAAAGAGCATCCTACTGAAGAATGAATGGGTCAACCAGGAAATTAAAGAAGAATTTTAAAAATTCATGGAAACCAATGAAAATGAAAACACAACTGTTCAAAATCTTTGGGCTGCAGCAAAGGCAGTCTTAAGAGGAAAGTATATAGCAATACAAGCCTTTCTCAAGAAACAACACAGGTCTCAAGTACACAACCTAACCCTACACCTAAAGGAGCTGGAGAAAGAACAGCAAATAAAGCCTAAACCCAGCAGGAGAAGAGAAATAATAAAGATCAGAGCAGAAATCAATGAAATAGAAACTAAAAGAACAGCAGAACAGATCAACGAAACTAGGAGCTGGTTCTTTGAAAGCATTACCAAGATTGATAAACTGCTGGCCAGACTTATCAAAAAGAAAAGAGAAATGACCAAAATCAACAAAATCATGAATGAGAGAGATCACAACCAACACCAAAGAAATATAAACAATTATAAGAACATATTATGAGCAACTCTATGCCAGCAAATTCGATAACCTGGAAGAAATGGATGCATTCCTAGAAATGTATCAACTACCAAAACTGAACCAGGAAGAAATAGAAAACCTGAACAGACCTATAACCATTAAGGAAATTGAAGCAGCCAAAAAAATCTCCCAAAAAACAAAAGCCCAAGGCCAGATGGCTTCCCAGGGGAATTCTACCAAACATTTCAAGAATTAATACCTATCCTTCTGAAACTGTACCAAAAATAGAAATGGAAGGAAAACTTCCAAACTCATTTTATGAGGCCACCATTACCTTGATCCCCAAACCAGACAAAGACCCCATCAAAAAGGAGAATTACAAACCAATATCCTTGATGAACATGGATGCAAAAATTCTCACCAAAATACTAGCCAATAGGATCCAACAGTCCATTAAAAGGATTATTCACCACGACCAAGTGGGATTTATCCCTGGGCTGCAAGGTTGGTTCAACATCCACAAATCAATGAACGTGATACAATACATTAACAAAAAAAAGAACAAGAATCATATGATCCTCTCAATAGATGCAGAAAAAGCATTTGACAAAGTACAGCATCCTTTCTTGATCAAAACTCTTCAGAGTATAGGGATAGAGGGTACATACCTCAAGATCATAAAAGCCATCTATATGAAAAACCTACAGCGAATATCATTCTCAATGGGGAAAAACTGAGAGCTTTCCCCCTAAGGTCAGGAATGCGGCAGGGATGTCCACTATCATCACTGCTATTCAACACAGTATTAGAAGTCCTAGCCACAGCAATCAGACAACAAAAAGAAATCAAAGGCATCCAAATCGGCAAAGAAGAAGTCAAACTCTCACTCTTTGCAGATGATATGATACTTTATGTGGAAAACCCAAAAGACTCCACCCCCAAACTGCTAGAACTCATACAGGAATTCAGTAAAGTGGCAGGATATAAAATCAATGCACAGAAATCAGTGGCATTCCTAAACACCAACAACAAGACAGAACAAAGAGAAATGAAGGAGTCGATTCCATTTACAATTGTACCCAAAACCATAAGATACCTAGGAATAAATCTAACCAAAGAGGCAAAGGAACTGTACTCAGAAAACTATAAAATACTCATGAAAGAAATTGAGGAAGACACAAAGAAATGGAAAAACGTTCCATGCTCATGGAGTGGAAGAACAAATATTGTGAAGATGTCAATGCTACCTAGAACAATCTACACATTCAATGCAATCCCCATCAAAATACCATCCACTTTTTTCAAATAAATGGAACAAATAATCCTAAAATTTATATGGAACCAGAAAAGACCCCGAATAGCCAGAGGAATGTTGAAAAAGAAAAGCGAAGCTGGTGGCATCACAATTCCAGACTTCAAGCTCTATTACAAAGCTATCATCATCAAGACAGTATGGTACTGGCACAAAAACAGACACATAGATCAATGGAACAGAACAGAGAGCCCAGAAATGGACCCTCAATGCAAGAATCAACTAATCTTCAACAAAGCAGGAAAGAATGTCCAATGGAAAAAAGTCTCTTCAACAAATGGTGTTGGGAAAATTGGACAGCCACATGCAGAAGAATCAAACTGGTCCATTTCCTTACACCACACACAAAAATAGATTCAAAATGGTTCAAAGACATAAACGTGAAACAGGAGTCCATCAAAATCCTAAAGGAGAACACAGGCAGCAAACTCTTCGACCTCAGCCACAGCAACTTCTTCCTAGAAACATCGCCAAAGGCAAGGGAAGCAAGGGCAAAAATGAACTATTGAGACTTCATCAAGATAAAAAGCTTTTGTACAGCAAAAGAAACGGTCAACAAAGCCAAAAGACAACTGACAGAATGGGTGAAGATATTTGCAAATGAGGTATCAGATAAAGGGCTAGTATCCAAAATCTATAAAGAACTTATCAAACTCAACACCCAAAGAACAAATGATCCAATTGGGAAATGGGCAGAAGACATGAACAGACATCTTTCCAAAGAAGACATCCAAATGGCCAACAGACACATGAAAAAGTGCTCAACATCGCTCGGCATCAGGGAAATCCAAATCAAAACCTCAATGAGATACCACCTCACACCAGTCAGAATGGCTAAAATTAACAAGTCAGGAAACGACAGATGTTGGCAGGGATGTGGAGAAAGGGGAACCCTCCTACACTGTTGGTGGGAATGCAAGCTGGTGCAGCCACTCTGGAAAACAGTATGGAGGTTCCTCAAAAAGTTGAAAATAGAGCTACCATACGATCCAGCAATTGCACTACTGGGTATTTACCCCAAAGATACAAATGTAGGGATCCGAAAGGGTACGTGCACCCCGATGTTTATAGCAGCAATGTCCACAATAGCCAAACTGTGGAAAGAGCCAAGATGTCCATCGACAGATGAATGGATAAAGAAGATGTGGTATATATATACAATGGAATATTATGCAGCCATCAAAAGGAATGAGATCTTGCCATTTGCAACAACGTGGATGGAACTGGAGGGTGTTATGCTGAGCAAAGTAAGTCAATCAGAGAAAGACATGTATTATATGACCTCACTGATAGGAGGAATTCTTTTTTTTTTTTTTTTAAAGATTTTATTTATTTATTTGAGAGAGAGAGAGACAGCGAGAGAGGGAGTACAAGCAGGGGGAGTGGGAGAGGGAGAAGCAGGCCTCCCACTGAGCAGGGAGCCAGATGCGGGGCTCGATCCCAGGACCCTGGGATCATGACCTGAGCTGAAGGCAGACACCTAACGACTGAGCCACCCAGGTGCCCCGATATGAGGAATTCTTAATCTCAGGAAACAAACCGAGGGTTGCTGGAGTGGGGGCTGGGATGGGAGGGATGGGGTGGCTGGGTGATAGACATTGGGGAGGGTATGTGCTATGGTGAGCACTGTGAATTGTGCCAACCCTGTTGAATCACAGATCTGTACCTCTGAAACAAATAATGCAATATATGTTAATAAAAAAAGAAGAAGAAGATAGTAGGAGGGGAAGAATGAAGGGGGGGAATCGTAGGGGGAGACGAACTGTGAGAGATGATGGACTCTGAAAAACAAACTGAGGGTTCTAGAGGGGAGGGAGGTAGGAGGATGGGTTATCCTGGTGTTGGGTATTAAAGAGGGCACGTTCTGCATGGAGCACTGGGTGTTATGCACAAACAATGAATCATGGAACACTACATCAAAAACTAATGATGTAATGTATGGTGATTAACATAACATAAAAAAGTCCAAAAAAAAAAAAAAAAAGACTGAATTTGGAAAAAAAAAAAATTAGAACAGCAAATAAAACAGCTCTCTGAGAAGCAGTGAACAGGAATGCCTCCCCACCACTCCCTTTCAACCCTACACTCTGGTATCCTTTGAAATCGGGAGGAGGGGGTCCTCTTCAGCCATCTGCAAGAGGCAAGAACAGAGCCCTCACTACCCAAGGAGACCAAAGAGTCTTCCATCACCCAGGCCTTTTCAAAGGTGATGTACCACCCTCAACAACCCTTTTGTTAAATAAAAATCCTACAGTCTGAAATGTAGCAGTCAGAGATTGTTCTACACACAGCCTGCTTTTTGCATTAAAAAAAAAAAAAATCCTTCATTAAATTACTTCCCAGTGGAAAAGAAAAATCAATGCAACTCTTTAAAAAAAAAAAATTCATACAAAGAATCATTTTAGGATCCAAAAATGCTTGTTTCACAAGGCTGAGATGCTATATATAGAAAGGACTCTGTGGTCCTTTTTCAGCCATCCCTGTAAATCACAGAACTCAAAGTGTTGCAAAACTTTCTCAGATACAGACATTTCTGGAAGGTAACACTGAAACCAGTGTTGCCTATATTCAGAGGGCTTCTTCTGCCTTAAAAGGTTTGCCAAAATCTAGCTTTCTCTAATATCAGTGAAAGGTGCCTCACCTGGCTATGACTACTCAGCCATGGCTGGATGGCCAAGAGACCCATTCCCATTTCCCTTTCCTAATCCCCTACCCCTTCCATTTGTTACAGCAAGACTAGGTGAAAACGTTACTGGTGATTGCCCTTAGCAACTTACTGTGTTTGTCCTGGAATCCTGGAGTGTAAATTTCCAGGCCCTGAAAAAAAGAAAAAGGGATGTTTTATTTAAGGTAATCCAACATCTATTTCAATGATTCTCAAACCTGTGTTGGCATCAAAATTTCTGAAAAAGCTTGTTTCAAGAACAGGTCTTCAGCCCTCACCCCAAACCTATTCAATCAAAGCATTTGAAACATGCACAAGAAATAAATATGCAAAAAATATATATCTATGGTACATACACTATATAATATTTAAAGCATAATCTGTGACTATACAGTTTTTGCTTTACTCTTTAGTAAGTATAAAATGCACCATGCTTACTATACCGCAATTTGCTTCATCAATTCATGTCACACACACAGATCTGCATTTGTTTTTAATGGCTACATAATGTTCCATGATGTGAGATTCAGACTGTCAGCGATTTTTTTGTAATTGAAAATAATGCTGGTATTTTTTTCTCAGCTTGAGAAACTGACACATAACATGTAAGTTTAAGCTATATAATGTGGTGATCTGATATATATGTATCACAGTAAGATTAATACCTTCATTCCCTCACATAACTGCTTTATTTATTTTTTCTGGTGATAACATTTAAAATCTACTCCCTTAACTTGTTCAAGTATATAATAAAGTATTTGTTAATTATAATCACCATACTATATAATTAGATGCCCAACTTATTCATCATATAGTTGAAAGTTTGTACCCTTCAACCAACATCTCCTGATTTCCCCCAACCACCGGCCCTGGGCAACCACCATTCATTCTACTATTTTTAGGAATCTGGCTTTTTTAGATTCTACCAGTAAGTGAGACCATATAGTATTTGTCTTTCTCTGTTTGACTTATTTCACTTAGCACAATGCCCTCAAGGTCCATCCATGATGTTGCAAAGGGAGGATTTCCTTCTTTTTTTCATGACTGAATAATATTCTGTGTGTGTGTCCCATTTTCTTTATCCATTCATCCATCAACAACTGCTTAGGTTGTTTTATGTTTTGGATACTGTGAATAATGCTGCATTGGACATGTGGGTGCAAGTATCTCTTCAAGATAATGATTTCATTTCCTTCAAGACAGATATCCAGAGAGGGATTGCTAGATCATATGCTGGTTCTACTTTTAGTTTTTTTAGGAACACCGTAATATTTCCATAGTGGCTTGTACCAATTTACATTCCTGCCAACAATGCACAGGGTTCCCTTATCTCTATATCCTCACCAACACTTATCTTTTTGTCTTTTTGGTAACAGCCATTCTAGGAGGTGTGAGGTAATCTCATTATATTTTTGATTTGCATCCCTGGTGATTAGTGATGTTGAGCATCTTTTCCTTTTGGCCATTTGTGTATCTTTGGAAAAATATCTATTCAAGTCCTTTGCTCATTTTAAAATAAACCTGTGGGGGGGCGCCTGGGTGGCTCAGTTGGTTAAGCGGCTGCCTTCGGCTCGGGTCGTGATCCCGGAGTCCCGGGATCGAGTCCCGCATCGGGCTCCCTGCTCGGCGGGGAGCCTGCTTCTGCCTCTGACCCTCCCCCCTCATGTGCTCTCTCTCTCTCTCAAATAAATAAAAAAAATAATAATAATAAATAAAATAAACCTGTGGGGTTTTTTGCTATGAAGCTGTATAAGCTCCTTATATATTTTGGATACCAAGCCCTTATCATGTAGATGGTTTACAAATATTTTCTCCCAGGGGCACCTGGGTTGCTCAGTCGGTTCAGGTCATGATCTCAGGGTCCTGGGGTTGAGCCCTGTGTCGGGCTCCCTGCTCAGTCAGTGGGGACTCGGCTTCTCCCGCTCCCTCTGCCCCTCCCAACTCATGCTCTCTCTCTCTCTGATAAATAAAATCTTAAAAATATATTTTTTTCTCCCATTCCATAGGATGCCTTTTCATTTTTCTGATTGTTTCTTTTGCTCTGCAGAAGCTTTACAATTTGATGTGGTGCCATGTGTTTACTTTTGTCTTTGCTGCCTGCGCTTTTGGTGTTATATCCAAAAAAATCACTGCCAAGACCAATGTTAAAGAGCTTTTTCCCAAAACTACCATTTTCTTACACCATACACAAAAATAAACTCAAATGGGTTAAGGACCTAAACCTGAGACCTAAAACCAAAAAATCCTAGAAGAGAGAGCACAGACAGTAATTTCTCTGACATAAGCCATAGCAACTTCTTTCTTGACATCTCCTGAGGCAAGGGAAACAAAAGTAAAAATAAATTACTGGGACTACGTCAAAGTAAAAAGCTTCCCCGCAACAAAGGAAACAACCAATAAAACTAAAAGACAACCTACAGAATGGGAGAAGGTATTTACAAATGGCATATCTGATAAAGGTTAGTATCCAAAATATATAAAGAACTTCTAAAACTCAACACCCAAAAAACAAATAATCCAATTAAAATAGGGCAGAAGACACGAATAGACATTTCTCCAAGGACACAGCCAGATGGCCAACAGACATATGAACTCAACATCACTCGTCATCAAGGAAATGCAAATCAAAACCACAGTGAGATATCACCTCACACCTGTCCAGAATGGCTAAAATCAACAACACAAGAAACAAGTGTTGGCGAAGATGTGGAGAAAAAGGAACCCTCTTGCACTTGTGGGTGGGAATGTGAACTGGTGCAGCCACTATGGAAAACAGTATAGAGGCTCCTCAAAAAATTAAAAATGGAATTACCCTATGATCCAGCAATCACACTCCTGAATACTTACCCAAAGAATATGAAAACACTAATTTGAAGAGCTATACACATCCCTATGTTTACTGCAGCATTATTAACAGTGGCCACACAGCAGCCCAAGAGTCCATCAACAGATGAATGGATAAAGAAGTGGTGTGTGTGTGTGTGTGTGTATGTGTATATGTATACATATGTGTGTATGTATATGCATATATACGTGTATGTATATGTATACAGACACATATGTACGTATACACACACACACATATATACACATGTACACACAAAATGGAATACTATCAGCCATAAAGAATAGAATCTTTCCATTTGCAACAACATGAATGGAGCTAGAGAGTATTAAGCGAAAAAAGCCAAAGACAAATAACCCTATGATTTCACTCATTTGTGGAATCTGAGAAACAAAAGAAATGAACAAAGGGAAAAAGAGACAGACAGACAAACACAAACCAAAAAGGAGAGTCTCAACTATGGAGAACAAATGGATGGTTGCTAGAGGGGAGGTGAGTGGGGGGGATAGGTGACATTGGTGAAGACGATTAAGAGTACAACTTATCACAATAAACACTGTATAATGGACAGAATTGTTGGATCACTGTATTGTACACCTGAAATTGATGTAGCACTGTATGTTAACGTGTAAGAATTAAAAAAAAAAAAAAAAAGACAAAGAGCTTTTTCCCTATGTCTTCTAGTAGTTTAACAGTTTAAGGTCTTACATTTAAGTTTTTAATCCACTTTGAATTAACCAGTGTGAGTAGTCTAAGATAGCATTCTCATTTCATTCTTTCGCATATCATCCAGTTTTCCCAGCACCATTTATTGAAGAGACTGTCCTTTCCCCATTGAGTATTCTTTGCTCCCTCATCAAATATTATTAACCATACACCTGACTGGCTCAGTCAGAAGAGCACACGACTCTTGATCTCAGGGTCATGAGTTTGAGCCAAAAAGAGATTACTTAAATAAAAAATAAACTTTATGGGGTGCCTGGGTGGCTCAGTCAGTTAAGTGTCTGCCTTCAGCTCAGGTCATGATCCTGGGTCCTGGGATTGAGCCCCACATCTGGCTCCCTGCTCATTGGAGAGCCTGCTTCTCCCTCTCCCTCTGCCTGCCACTCTGCCTACTTGTGCTCTCTATCTCTCTGTCAAATAAATAAAATCTTTAAAAAAAAAAATTAAAATTAAATAAATAAAAAAATAAAAAATAAACTTTAAAAATATGTATTATTGACTATATACACGTGGCTTTATTTCTGGACTCTTAATCTGTTCCATTTGTCTATGTGTCTATGTGTATCCCAATACTACAGTTTTGATTACTATAGTTTTGCAATAAAGTTTGAAATCCAGAATTGTGATGTCTCCAGACTTGTTCTTTCTTTGGCTATTCAAGGTCTTTTGTGGTTCCCCTTGAGTTTGCTCTTTTTATTTGGATTAAAGGATTGCTCTTTTTATTTGAAAAATGCCATTGAAACTGACAGGAACTACACTGAATTTACAGATGGTTTGGGGTAGTAATGATATTAATTCTTCCAATCCATGAACACAGGGTATCTTTCCATTTGTCTGTGTCATCTTCAATTTCTTTCATCTATGTCTTGTAATTTTCAGTGTACAGATCTTTCATCTCCTTGGTTAAATTTATTCTTTTTTTTTAAGCATTTTATTATTTTTAATGCTATTACAAATGGGATTTTCTTTTTCAGAAGTTTTGTTAGTATAAAGAAATGCAACTGATGTTTGTACATTGGGTTTATATCCTATAATTTTACTGAACTCATTTATTAGATCTAACAATTTTTTGGTGGAGCCCTTAGGGTTTTCTTTTGTTTTTTAAGATTTTATTTATTTGTCAGAGAGAGAGTCAGCAGAAGCAGGGGGAACAGCAGGCAGAGGGAGAAGCAGGCTCCCCGCTGAGCAAGGAGCCTGGTACGGGACTCGATTCCAGGACGCTGGCTGGGATCATGACCTGAGCTGAAGGCAGACACTTAACCAACTGAGCCACTCAGGCATCCCTCTTTAGGGTTTTCTATATAGAAGATCAAATCATCCATAAACAGAGACAATTTTACTTCTTCCTTTCCAATTTAAATGCCTTTTATTTTTCTTTCTTGCCTAACTACTTTGGCTAAGACTTCCTGTGTACTGAATAGAAGTAGTAAGAGTGGGAATCCTTGTCTTATTCCTGATCTTGGTGGGAAAGCTTCCAACCTGTCACTGTTGAATATGTTAGCTGTGGATTGGCCATACATGAGAACTACGCTATTATTAAAACAAACATCCTTATTACCTTTGTACCCTTATGTAAACATTTCTATAGGACAAATTCCAAAGAGTGAAACTGCTAGGTCAAGAAATATAAACATATTTCAGTGGACACTGCCAAATGACCCTGGGAAAAGTTGTAACAAATTCTATTCCTACTAACTGCCCATATATGGTCACAAAAACTAGATACCTAAATCTTAAGTCTCACAAATTTTCTGTTCTCCCTCCCTCATCCCCTCACCTTTCTTAATGACTATCGTTCTGCTCTTATCTATACCAGTTCCTTTTCTGTTTTATTGTCATTTCACTACCTCCTTGAGTTAAAACCTTTGCTAAGTTATTTTCAAGCTAAGCTACTTTCAAACATTCTGGTTTTCTAATGGATGCAATCAAGTTGCAAAATTCCCCCAACAGATTTATAAGCAGTTCACTACTATCATTCATTTTGCTAAAGGGTATCCTATTGGATTGTTCATATATTGTATCTGGATTTAATATTGTCAGGTAGGAGAGTCTATTATGGACTTTGGTCTAATTCAGTTCTAGTATTTCAGAAAGTTTTTCTTGCACTGAATTTCTAACTACCTTCTTGGGTTCTGTACTTTGCAGACTATTGATCAATAATCTTCCTGATAAACTCTTTTAGTCTAACATAATTCTGATCTTTTCTCTAAATTCTTTAATCTTTTCCCCCTGCTTTCCCTGAGAGTACGCTCAAGTCTTTCCTTCATGTCAGTGATTCATTTTTTAGTTGGGCTTGTACCCCAAGGAAGGGAGCCAAGATTTAAATTAGATTATAAAATGAATGGCAGATATACCCTACGACGGACCTTCTTGGCTACACAGATGCTAAAGGGCACAGAAGAAACATGAATTCCCTCTCTCGTGCAGTTTATATTCTAATAAAAAGAGACAAACAAGGTAAACAAATAGCTAATTAGATTGTAAGTATGTGTGTATATGTATGATGCAAGAGAGGGGGTTATAATTTTAAATATGGTAGCCAGGAAAGCATTCTTGGAAAATTTGATTCTGTTTTGTGGGTTTTATTTTCCTACAGATGAGGAGCTTTTTCTGAGGCTTATTACATTTTCCTTCTTATTTTTCCTTTACAGTATATTTGGCACACCATTTCTTTGCATCCTGCTCATGTTTAACATGGGAAATGATACCTAAAAATTCTATTTGCTCTCATATAGTATGTGTTATTTCTTCTTGACACCCTTCCTACTTAATCTGACATCTATTGGTAGCCCCACCTCACTCCACCCCAGCAACAGACTAGGTGTTACCCTCAATCATTTTTCTGTAATCAAAGAGAATAATGGTGAGAGAAAAGAAAATTTCTTGTGGCAGTTAAGTCCTTTCTGAAAAATCTGGCTTCTACACTCTTCTGAGCATATTCTTTTGAATGTCTCATGCTAGGACTTACTTCATCAGCCACAGAATTATCCTACTCCTGTGAGCTCTGAAGTCTTCCAGTGGCTCTGGAATGACAAACCCTGGTGGGAACCTTCCACTCTCCACTGAGGTCCCAAGGATATCATATTCTCAAGGATTTTTCCTTAGCTTTCCCAAAAAGTACCTTACTCCTTTAGTCAACATCCTTCCAGACTGCAGAGTATTACTGAAAATTTGCAAGACTTAACTAACTCCTCTTGTTACTACTTCTGGGAGTTGGAGGTAAAAACAATGAAACATCTCAACAAAATCTTCTATTTCTTTCTTTGGCCATCACTCTTTGTAGTTGGTGCTTAAAGCTGAACTTCTTCATTTGGCTGTTACTGCTAAAAGGTTTCCCCTTCATTTCACCATTTTTACTCAAAGGTCTCAGTTATGGGTTGAATTCTGTCCTCTGCCAAAAAATAAGTTGAAGTCCTAATCCCCAGTACCTTTGACTTACTTAGAAATAAGGTTTTGGGGGCGCCTGGGTGGCTCAGTCAGTTAAGTGTTCAGCTCAGGCTGTGATCTCAGGGTCATGAGATCAACTCCACGTAGGGCCCTGTGCTCAGCACAGAGTCTGCTTAAGACACTCTCTCCCTCTCCCTCTGCCCCTTCCCAGGCACATGTGCACTCCCTCTCTAAAATAAATAAATAAATCTTAAAGAAAAGAGAAGAAAAAGGAAGGTGGGTTGGTCGGTCTTTACAGATGGACTCAAGATGAGGTCATACTGAATTAATGCGAATCCTTACTCTAATACAGTTGGTGTCCTTTTAAGAGAACATCTGGACACAGACACACAGGGAGAATGTCTTTTTACAACAGAGGAAGAAATTGGACTGACACAGTGGCAAGCCAAAGAACGCCAAGGATCAATGGCCACAACCCAAACTAGGAAAAGGCAAGGAAGGATTCTACTCAGGAGTCTCAGAGGGAGCAAGGCTCTGCTGACACGCTGAGCTCAGACTCCTAGCTTCCACAACTGTGAGAGAAAACATTTGTTGTTTTAAGGCACCCAGTTTGTGGCAGCCATGGGAAACTAACAGTCTCCTGAAACTAAGAGTCTCCTATTCGTTACTTTTTTACCTTTCTGAGTCATTTTATTTCAAGTATGTTTCTTGTTAACAGACTATATAGTTAGACTTTGCATTTTTTACCCAATCTCAGATCTTATTCTTTTTAAGGGGAATTTAACCAGTTCACATTTACTGAGATCATAAACATCATCGGTCTAATTACTGCTAGTTCCAGATATTTTTGCCACTACTTAAACATTCCATGCAACACCTCAGTGTATAGTAGAACAAAGCAGTTAAGAACAAAGGTCTCTGTGGAGACAAAGGTTCAAATCCTGAGTCTAATCTGTTAGCTCTAAAATCTTGGGAAGTGTGGTAGGCAGAATGACATCTACATCCTAATCCTGAAAACCTGTGAATGTTATCTCACAGGGCAAAAGAGACTCTACAGCTGTAATTAAGGTTAAGGACTTTGAGATGGGGAGATTACCCTGGATTATCCAGGTTGGCCCAAACTATTCATTAAGTGCTTAAAAGCATATAACCTTCCCCACCTGCAGAGAACCAAAGAGATGACCGTAAGAAAAGGGCATGGCCCAGAAGCCAAGAAACCAGGAAGCCTTTAGAAACTTAAAAGACAAGCAGACTCTCCCCTAGAGCCTGCCAATACTATAAGACCCAGTGTTGGACTCCTGACCTTCAGAAATGCAATCATAAATTTGTACTGCTTGAAGCCACTAAGCTCAGGGTAATTTATTATAGGAGCATTAAAAAAGTGATATAGGGTGGTGCCTGGGTGGCTCAGTTGGTTAAGCATCTGCCTTCGACTCAGGTCATGATCCCAGGGTCCCCTGGGATCAAGCCCCGTGTCAGGCTCCCTGCTCAGCAGGCAGGAAGGCTGTTTCTCCCTCACCCTCTGCCGCTCCACCTACTTGTGCTCTTTCTCTCCTTCTCTCTGTCAAATAAATAAAATGTTTAAAAAAAGAAAAGAAAAGAAAAAAAGTGATATAGGAAGTTACTAGTTTCTTATAACAAAAACAGCACTTACCTTATAAGATATGGTAAGGATTAAATAACATATATAAAGCAGTTAGCATAGTGCCCAGTGCCAAGTAAGTGTTCAATATACATGTTTAAATTGTTGAGTAGTAATACTGTAAGTCCAGTTTATTAAAAAGTAGCAAACTGGCTTTACGTGTGGTCATTTCTCCATCAGTCTATAGGAAAGCTATATTTCTTCCAAAAAGTATCATTTAAGATTCACTGATATGAATCATAAGAGTGTAAAAAAGCAGCTATATATGGGATTTAAAATTAATTCTGTGAGTTTAGCATGGAATAAATGTTTATATTTAAAATGAACATATATGTGAAATGCAGAGCAAGCACTCGACAAACTGGTCTGGATTGTACGAAAATAGTCACCTACATATAAATATTTTAATATAAATGAATATTACAATAATATGTTAGTGAATTCTTATAATGTCCAGACTTAACTCATAAGAGTGGTACAGAGTGGCCAGGAAAAAAAAAAAATTCTTCCCCCCAAATTCTTTTTTTTTTTTCGTTTTTGAGAGAAAGAGAGAGTGCATGTGCTTGTGCTTGGGCAGAGAGAGAGGCAGAGAGAGAGAGAATCTTAAGCAGGCTCCACACCCAACGTGGAGCCCAATGCAGAGCTCAATCTCATGACCCTGAGATCATGACCTGAGCTGAAATCAAGAGTCTGATGCTTAACCGACAGAGCCACCTAGGCACCCCCTCACCCCCAAATTGTATTTAATCAGTGTTTTCAAGATTCTGATCCAATTTCACTGCCAATGTTAACAGGCTGAGAACTGATAAAGCTGGGTTTTCTTTCTTGCGGCTCTACATCTCTTCTTCAGAGATGGCAGATGGAGCAAGAACCACCAAAGGAAGGAACAGACTGTGTAATAGAGATGTCAGTGCTTTTTTAAAAGATATTTACATAAAAAGAACAAGATTTAAGAACCCATTCAACTATGCCCATTACCCAATGTACATCTAGTAATGAAAAAGTACAAAGTGGCTATATACTAATACTTTGTCATTCCCGCTATAACGGGATCTTGCCTGCACAGCTCTGGAGAAGCAGAAACTAGGACGAGAGTTATTAGGCTTGGAATAAGGCCCTGTTACATTTGTTTCACACATCCTCTGAGTCACTTATTCTGCTGCCTGAAGGAAAACGCCATTCTCATTCTACTCCCTTCCTGATAACTGGAAATTAAAACACAACACTTTTTAAATTAAAACACATAAAAACCCAAAACTTACAAACAATCATCTGTGCTTTCTGCACAAAGACTGATAATTTTCCCATCTCGGCAAACAATCTGCAGCATACAGTCTTTTGGCTTCCCATCTGGAGGCTGAATATCTGTGAAAAGTAAGTAGAATAAGGCAATATTTATATAGTTCTTTTTAAAGGCTTTATTCTTACCTAACAGCTCAGATAAGCAAAGGACGAATATTTCAGAACGTTCCAATAATAAAACATCTTTGTCCTGCTCTACAGAACCAAGCACATGAATTACAACTCTGTTCCAATTAAACTTTCTGCAGGAGGGGCGCCTGGGTGGCTCAGTCAGTTAAGCATCTGCCTTCAGCCTGGGTCATGTTCTCAGGGTCCTGGGATGGAACCCCACATCAGCCTCCCTGCTCAGCAGGGCGTCTGCTTCTCCCTCTCCCCCTCCTCCCACTCGTGCACTATCTCCCTCCCTCTCTCAAATAAATAAAATCTTTAAATAAATAAATAAATAAACAAACAAACTTCCTCCAGGAAGAACAAGCAGGCCTCTTCTAGAGGGCAATCCATAAACAGAGATGTACAGAACAGCCCAGATATTAGAAGAATAAGCCCCAAACAATGAAAAGTGTTAATGAGCATCAGATAACAGAATACTTATTGTTTTTATTCACAGGAAATACTAAACTGGACCACTGCTTTAAAAGTGAAAATCATACTTTAAAGTAGTTCTGTGTACCAAGAAATAAGGTCTGTGATATTTGAGCCTGGTTTAGGTAGATATTTCAACAGCTAGTCATCCATGGACACTTGTGTTTCAAGAACTAACATGCAGGGGGGCAAGATGTTACAACAACAATGGTTACTACAAGCATATAGGCCATTTGTAACTCTTTAATTCAAAAACTATTTATAGGAGCAGGATGTTTCAAACATCAATGTTTACTAAAACAGACTCTATTCCAAATAGAAACAGAGCTAATAAGCAGGGAAGTCTACATATGCCCTTAATAAGAAATAGAAAAGTCTATACTTATTAAAAATTTATTCCTTTAAAATGAATATAAAGAATAACTCAGGAAACCAAGGCATCATGGATTTTTAAGTAACTGACTGATGGTGTTATCAATGAGATGCCTGTTTCTGAGCAACAAAACCTATACACTACCTAGGGTGGTTCCATCTTTCTTGGGGATCCCAGCACTCTGGTTATTCTCCACCACTTTCTCCATGACAGAGCAAGGAATGTGGACTGCTGGGTCTGATTCAGATGAGAAAATTAATCTGCCCCAATCATATGATTCATGATCCAAGTGTCTGGGTGCCCACTGTGTTTACCTCCCTTGTTTGATGAAAGATGAAACCCTTCTTTGGTCTGTCAATGAAAGCAAAATGAGTAAGGAAAATGATTCAACTCCCACCAAGAATGGGGAAGGGTAGAGGACAGAAGCTGGCCACAACTGACTCACTTACCCCGACACTCGTGCCCGGTGCGGATATTGATGCAGTCCACTGGCATATGGACCTTATCCTCGACACTCTGCCGAGTTTGGTCATCATAATAGATCAGGTGACCATCTGACCACAGGTCAAACCAATTCTTCTTCCAACGCTTCAAAATAGTACCTGAAAAAAATGGAAAGGTTGGCTTTGAGCCAAAAAAAGCAAGGACTTTATCCTCTAGCTCACAGGTAACTGAAACGAAGGAAACTTTTCTCTGGCCCCATAAGTACACATGCATACAGTTGCCCAGAGCACTACATCAAAATGGAGATGAAATCAAACTCCAATGGCACAAACACCCATGCTGTACATGCACCTTACACTAAAGATACTAAGAATGCTGCCAACTTAATAGTCCAAATTTTTTTTTTTAAAGTTCAATAAAACCTTGATTTTGATAACAAGTGTTGGTGAGGATGTAGAGGAAAAAAGAACCATCATGTTGGTGGGAATGTAAACTGGTACAGCCACTGTGGAAAACAGTATGGATGCTCCCAAAAAAATTAAAAACAGAAATACCATATGGTCCAATAATTCTACTACTATTTACCCAAAGACAACAAAAACACTAATTCAAAAATATATAGGCACCATGTTTATTGCAGCATTATTTACAATAGCCAAGATATGGAAGCAACCTAAGTTGCTAAGTGTCCATCAATAGACAGATGGATAAGGAAGATGTGATAGTTATATACAATGAAATATTATGCAGTCATAAAAAAGGATGAGACTGTGCCATTTGTGATGACATGGATGGACTGAGAAAGTATTACACTAAGTGAAATAAATCAGACTGAGAAAGACAAATACCATATTATTCCACTCAATGTGGAATCTAAAAAAAAAAAAAACAAATGAATAAACAAACATTAAAAGCAGAAACGACACATAAATACAGAGAACAAACTGATGGTTGCCAGATGGGAAAGGGCTGGGAGGATGGGCAAAACAGAGGAAGGGTAGTGGGAGATAGAGGCTTCCAGTTATGAAATGAGTTAAGTCATGGGAATAAAAGGCACTGCATGAAGAATACAGTCAATGATATTGTAACAGTGATGTATGGAAACAGATGGTAGCTACGCCTGTGGTGAGCATAGCATAACAAGAGTTACACACCTGAAACTAATGTAACATTACGTCAACTATACTCAAAATTTTAAAAACCAAAAAAAACCCCAAAATCCTTCATTTTAAGCTAATAAAACATCTAATATTTAATTTTCCATGTAGTATATCTACACTCTCCCAGGAGTATTTAACTTTGCTAAACTGATCAGAGAACATTGGACTGTGAAGTCTCTATATACAAAAAACAATAATACATTCCTCTTTTAAAAAAACATGCTTTGTTTTGTTTTTCTCGAAGAGCTTTCACATATATTCTTCTCTAACATTCACCATCCCTTAAAGCCCATGGTGTGGGAGGGTCTCCCTGCTTCAGACAGACACAGAAGCAGGTTCGGACACTGGGTGTACCCGCAGCCAGGACACTGACTCCCATCCTGTGTGCATCTGTCCTGCTACCTCATACGTCCCTATCAGTTTAGGGAATTCATCCTAACATTTGTAATCTTGGAGTAGGCACTTAACTTTATGAAACTCAAATTTCCCTATTAGCCAAAAAGGAAAACTAAAAGGCCAAGTCAGTCACCCCTGCTCCTTCCTCACACCCAGACACTACCTACTACATCCTTTGTTCCTGTAGATCCCACCCTTCTTGGCCATCGTGCACAAATTCCATTCCATGTACCTCTCCTTATGCTCCCATAGCTATTACTGGTGTGAACTAAATATGCATCGTATCAGCTCTCCAAATTTCTTTTACCACTATCAGGCACCCTCCTTGCTAAGAAGGGCATCCACAGCAGTGTCCCAAACTGATAAATAAGTGACATCAGCATCCACTTGATTGGCAGCCCCTGAGCTGTACAGAAACTACCAAATAGAGCCACCCAGACACATAGGTGAACCGGATTAGGGAGTTCTACCCAAGTATCTCACCTGCCACCAAAGCCCTGACTGCAGATTCCCAAATTAGGCTGTCCTCCATAGTCCTAAAGGTCTGTGTGGCAATAGCAATAAAAGGAATCCTCCAGACTGCTTTGCATACATGTAACCATCTGTGTACCTCTGCTACCCAGTGAATATAATACAAGTCACCTCATCTTATTTTATTAGGATTGATAGTTCTGATTTTTGCAAAGGAAAATGGAATAAGTCTTCTGAATATACACTTCAAGACTGCCATGGACCAGGACACTAGAAAAGTCTGTACAACTTATTTAAAAGACATCTATTTTGTGTACGTCATTATGCTAGGCATTGACTGGGAGAGGGGACAAAAAGTCAAAATGGTCACTGTTCACTTATGTTGACAGAACATTTACACTGAGTCATGGTGAAGAAAGGAAAGCTTGTCCTCAAACAAGGACACAGCAAAGCCTAAAGAGAAAACCAGAGGATATCCTTAGGACCAGGAAAGGAAGGTACATCCTCTAGGTCCAAACAAGGCTCTCCACATCCCCTGACAATTTAGGGAAGGATGGGATCACAAAACCCAAAACAAAGAAACTTACACAAAGACTGGGGCTAGGCTCCAATATGCCAGGACTTTCTTTTTAAAGCAACATTGCTCTATCTATTCTTAGAATATAGAACTGTCACAGACCTTGAAAGGACACCTGGTTCAGCTCCAGGTCTGGGAATGTAGAACTAGTGACAGGACAAATAAGCTGAAGGCTTGTGTTCTGGTAGAAAGTGTGTCAATGCCGAAATGACACAGTCCTGAATCTGAATACAGGTTTGCCACCCACAGTGTTAAGTTACCTAATATCACTAAAACTCAATTTCTTCAACTAGAAACCAGGATAATGCCACCTACCTCACAGAGCTGCTGTGGTAAGTACATAATATATGTAAAATCTATGTAACAAGGTCACAAACAACCTTCATAAATAATAGTTTTTATAAACCATCTAAGGTATGCAGTCCATTCTTCACTGCTAGTCTCAATTTTAGCTAAGTTCTGAAGGTAACCCCCCAACAGAAATTTGTATCTGAATAATAAACAGTATAAACTATAGCTCAGTTTTTTGCTAGTCATAAATGATATAGTAGTCACTTTTCCCTTAACTCTGCTCTTTATAGAGGGACAGCAGAATAATCTGTTTACTTTTTCTCTAATGAACAGAGTTGGTTATTCCTGCTTTAGAACACACCATGAATCTGGGGGCCTGGGTGGCTCAGTCGGTTAAGCGTCTGCCTTTGGCCCAGGTCATGATCCCAGGATCCTGGGATTGAGTCCTGCATCAGGCTCCCTGCTCAGCAGGGAGTCTGTTTCTCCCTCTCCCTATGCCCATCCCCACTGCTCATGCGTTCTCTCTCTCTCTCATGCTCACACACTCTCTCTCTCTCTGCCTCTCTCAAATAAATAAAATCTTAAAAAAAAAAAAAAAAACTGATTCTCTTCTGCAGAGTCCTTTTGGAGATCCAAAAGATTAGTTTTAGATAAACTCATTCCTTCAAGTCAAATCTTCATCTCTATAAATTAAAGTCTCCAGTGTTTTAGAATCTTAGTCACTATTCAATCCCCAAATAAAACAGGTATTTCCCACAAAGACAGCAGTACCTCCATGCTAATATATCAGAGTTCAGCTTGGTTAGATTCAAGCAGGGACTCAGGTCAGCCATGAGTACATGGGCCCCTAGATAACTTTAGGATGGGGCTGACTGCCAAGGAAATAGCAACCAAGAAGGAACTCTGGTGAGCAGAAACACAGTTCACAGAGCTCTAAAAATTTCCCAGAGGAAATCCAGAGCAAGCACATTAATAAGACTTTGACATTTATTTTTAAATGTGATCTGTTTCAGCAATAGAAATAAACATGTACCCTAAGGCAACACTAAACCCAGTCCAACAGGCTCATGTTCTGTACTTACTCTGTCGCAGCAACCATCCACTCTTCACAAACGCCATTTTTCCACCTGTAAAAGAAACAGCCAGGTTCAAAGTTATACCCTGAAAAGAGAATGGCCCATACAAGCTGTTTTTCACTCACAACAGTTCTGACACCAAACATGTGGGGTCTTTCCACATTAACAACGAATTCTCCAAATCTCAGGACAACAACTAGATGTCTACTGATTCAACTCGATTCTGACCTGGAATGAGCATCAGTTAAGGGTTCAGTTCCACAAGAGTGCTCCCACTTCAGAAAACAAGTTCTGAGCCTCCAATATTTCTGACCTACAAATTGGGGGTTCCCATAACCTCTCTTCAAATTTGATAATTTTGCCAGAATGGCTCACAGAACTCAAGAAAGCATTTTACTTACCATGTCCTATTTCTTATAAAGCATACAACTCAGGAAAAGCCAGATGGAAGAGATGCACAGAGCAACGTAAGTCTTTCATGCTTTCTCTAGGCACACCGCCCCCTCCTAGCACCTCTGTGTGATCATTAACCCAGAAGCTCTTAAAACCCTGGCTTTAGGGGTTTTAAGGAAGTGACATTAGGTGGGTGTGATTGATTATCACATTACTGACCACTGGTGACTGAACTTAATCCCCAGCCTCTTCCCATCCCTGCAGGTCCAGGGATGGGGCTGAAAGTTCTAACCTTCTAATCACAAGGCTGATTTCCCTGGCAATCAGCCCCATCCTAAAGTTATCTAGGGGCCCAACAAAAGTCACCTCATCAGCATAAACAGATATGGTTGAAAGGGGCTCATTATGAATAAGAAGATACTCTTGGCACCTCTACCTCAGGAAATTCCAAAGATTTTAGTTCACATAGTTCTTACATCACAAAAATCACAGCCATCTGGTCTAACTCTCCATCCTGATCTCTGTGTCAGCTGAGGAAGGCAATAAAACCATTTTACCTCACTGGCCATCTGGCATTTACTTAATACCTCCTCAGTAGGGCCAACACAACCCCTCCCCCCACCTCCCCCCACCTCCCACTCTAGGCTTTGGGCTCAACACTCTGCCCACCTTACTAAATCTAACACCACTCAACAGACATAAAGCATCCCAGGAACACTAAGATTTAGCTCTGTCAAGGATTTGTGGCTTCTCCTAATATGACCAGCATCCTGGGGCTCTGGGGTCCACTGCCTCAGCTTTATACCTGGTGTGCCCAGTAGCATTCACACAGCCCAGTCATATGTGCACTGGTGTCAACAGGCCAAGTGGCCAGTCAGAGCAGAATACCGAAGTCAAGAAAGAGTGTGATAAATTTAACTCCATAAAAATAAAAATCTGAGTGGCAAAAAAAGTCAAGAAAACAAAATACTAAGAAAAACATTTACAACAATGTTTTTGGCAACAATGAGCTAATTTCCTTCAAGTACAAAGCTCACATATAACAAAAATGACAATCATCTGGCAGTTCACAAGAAAACAAACATTAATAGGCAATAAATTTGTTAAGATATTCAATTTCTCTCTCAATTCAACACACAAAATTCAAAACACAAGTTAACAATATTACCTATCAGATGGGCACAAATGAAAAAAAACTATGATACCCAGAAAGGAGTAAGCATGATGGCAGGAATGAAAACTGTTGCAAACTTCTGGGAGAAGGATTTGACATCTATCAAAATTTTAAATGTTCATAAACTCTGACCCAGAGATTTCACCATTACTAGGATTATACCTCATTGATACACGTGCAGAGGTCTACCAACAAATCTGTATATTTATGGCAATGTTGCTTATACTGCAAAACACTAGCTCCAACCAAAGTGATCCACATCAGAAGATGGCTCAAAGGGTACCTCCACACATGACATATCATTATGCAGATATGAAAAAGGAGGTAGAACAGTGTGTGCTGATACCTGCACAATTGTTTTGGGGAAGGAATCAAAGAAACTCTTAACCACATGTACCTTTGAGGAGAGAAAGAAGGCAATGCTGTGTATGTATCAGAAAAGAAAGTGACTAGGGGCGCCTCGGTGGCACAGTCGGTTGAGCATCCAACCCTTGGTTTCAGCTCAGGGAGTGAGCTCAGGGTTGTGAGATGGAGCCCCACATCAGACTCCACACTCAGTGAGGAGTCTGCTTGTCTGCTTGATACTCTCTCTCCCTCTCTCTCTGCCCCACCACCCACCCTTCACACACAAAAATGCTCTCTAAAATAAATAAATCTTTCAGAAAAAAAGTGCCTATTCAGTCCTATTATACCTTTCTTTCTATTAATACTTAAAATTTTTAACAACTTGCATGTATTATATTTTTTCTTTAATCAACAGATTTTAGGGGCCCCTGGCTGCCTCAGTTGGTAAAACATGTAATACTTGACCTCGGGGTTGTGAGTTTGAGCCCCATGTTGGAAACAGAGATTACGTTTTTTTGAGGGGGGGCATAGAGATTACTTTTTTTTTTAATTAAAAAAAAATAAGGGCACCTGGGTGGCTCAGTCAATTAAGCACCTGACTTCGGCTAAGGTGATTTTGGGGTCCTGGAATCAAGGCCCAAGTCAGGCTCCCAACTCAGTGGGATTTCTGGTTGTCCCTCTCCCTTTGACTCTGCCCCTCCCCCTACTTGTGCTCTCTGTGTCTCTCAGATAGGTAAATAAAATCTTTAAAAAAAACAGATCTTACTTGGAGATTTTATGGGAACCATTTTTCTTTTCTACTTTAGCATTTTTAGGTACTCTCTTTAACAGTTGGATGGTTAGCAAAAAGGAGGAAAAGCCCAAGTGGGCACCTGAAAAGAACAAATCAGCCCCCCCAACCTTTAATTTTTCCCATGTCTAAGTATGACTAAATTCTCACCATTCTCCAAACCTTTACAAAAAGAGCTACACAAGCTTGGTTTATCCTATACTCCAGCATCTCCAAAATCTCATACTCAAGGTTCTTAATGTCCTTGTGATTTCTGCCAATTCATGCTGTCTGCCCTCTCTACGAAAGTTAGAAAGTTTTTCATCTTTCCCCATTTTTCTCCCACACACTCAGGTAAACTAGAAACAGAAATGCAGTCTCTCCCATTTATCCCACTGGACATGCATGCTGCTCACTGCTGACTAGAGGGGACTAGCCCAAGTGCTGCTGACTAGATGGCTAACAGCACCTATCACTGACCAGGAAACCCACTCTAATCCAAAGCTCTCTGTTAGGCAAAATGACAGTTTATTATTTAAACTGGGTTGAACTGGTTTGCTAAACTCGCAGGAAAAAAAAGGAAAAACAAAAACAAAAAAAACATGCAGCCAAAAACCATCATTTACTTCCAAACAGATACCATCATATCTTCATCCAACAAATATTGAGTGCTAATATGTGCCCAACCTTGTAGTAGGCACTAAGGACACAGCAGTGACCAAGCTAAAGTCCCTGTTTTCATGTAGCTTACACTGTAGGAAAGCAATTGGTTAAACTTATAAATTAAAAAGACAGGTGGGGAGGAGCAAGATGGCAGAGGAGTAAGAGACCTAAATTTCGTCTGTTCCCAGGAATTCAGCTAGATAGTTATGAAACCATTCTGAACACCTCAAACTTGACAGCAGATCAAAGAAAAGAAGAGCAACAATTCTATGAACAGAAAAGGGACCACTTTCTGGAAGGCAGGACGTGCAAAGAAGGCAATATTCAGGAAGATAGATGGCCAGGGGAGGGGGCCTCCATCAGCTGCTATGGGCAAGTGATACAGCCGCGGAGCACAAAATCAAAACTTTTAGAAGTCGGCTCCGCTGAGGGACTTCGCTCCGGTGGCTAAGCATGGGGTGGGAACCTCGCTGGGACAGTGTGCTCTCAGGCCCTCGGGATCACAGAAAGACCAGGGGAGCCGGAGAGTGGCAGAGCTCCCAGGTATCAGAGCAGGGAAGCCAGCTGCAGAATCGGGGAGACTCCCCTTCCTGCCCCAGGAGAAGCAGCACGGGAGCGCACCGCAGGGATCTGCTGGGTTTGGAGACTCCACATGGGGTCCGGTGGCAGAGATAGAAACCCTTGGTCACAGGCCAGGTGAGCACGGACTGCAGCCGGAGGCCGGAGAGATGGGAGAGATTGACTGCTTTTCTCTGGGGGCTCAATGAGGAGTCACCTGAGTTCTTGGCTCCTCCAGAGCGGAGACTGGGAGGCTGCCATTTCACTCTGTCCTCCAAGGCTGTAAAGAAAGCTTTTAGGGAACAAAAGCTCCCAAGAGCAAATCCAAGATTACTTAGCCCCGACCAGGCAAGGGAGGGGCAATTCCGCCTCTGGCAAAGACATTTAAGAACCACTGCAACAGGACCCTCCCCTAGAAGATCAGCAAGAACTTCCGGCCAAAAGCAAGTTTACCGATCAATGAGAACTGCAAAACTCCAAGCACTAGGGGAATACTACACATAGAATTCATGGCTTTTTTCCCATGATTCTTTAGTCTTTCAACGTTAATTTTTTTTTATAATTTTTTTTAATTTTTTTTATTTATTTGCGAGAGAGAGAATGAGAGACAGAGAGCATGAGAGGGGAGTGGGTCAGAGGGAGAAGCAGACTCCCTGCTGAGCAGGGAGCCTGATGTGGGACTCGATCCCGGGACTCCAGGATCATGACCTGAGCCGAAGGCAGTCGCTTAACCAACTGAGCCACCCAGGCGCCCTCAAAGTTAATTTTTAAAATTTTCTTTTTTCTTTTCTATTCTTTTTTGAATTTTTCTACTTTCCTTTTTCAACCAACATCTTACATTATCAATTCATATTAAAATCTTCTTTAATTTGCATTTTTAGTCATATTCTATCCCTTCATTGTATTTAACCTTATTTTTGTGTGTGTGTATATATATGTATATATATATATACATAAATACACATACACATTTTTCTTTCTTCAAAATTTTGGGATAGAGTTTCTTCCAAGAGACCAAAATATACCCTAAATCTAGTATATGGCTTGGTTCTAGTCTCCTGCCTGATCACATTCTATCCTTTTTTCTTTTTTTTAATTTTTTTTCTATATTTTCTCAACCAACTTATCAATTCCGTTTTTAAAATCTTT